CCCCAAAACCCCAAAACCCCAAAACCCCAAAACCCCAAAACCCCGATTTTATGGAAGCTAGTTGATTTACTTTAAAATGTGATATTCTTCAGGAATCCCTTGTAAAGTTTTAGATTCGATACCAATGCAATTTCTTCTCTATTTAGCTCCTTCGTGATCTTCTCTTCACTATAAAAATAGCTATGGATGACTTACTCTTGAGATGGGAATGGATACAACTTAGCACTATTGGTTGATACATTCTCAATATAGTTGCTCAATTGGTCATTCAAGTCTTTACATGAATACACTTCGATGTTTGTGTTGATAAAACCTTTCAACTTCTTTAGACTTTCTTTTAGTGGAAGATTAATCACCTTTGCTAAGGGAGTCTCATTGAAGCTCGCCTTCTTCTTCTTTGGCCCAAGACCTGAAATAGCTTGTCCTAGAGCAGAAAAGGAAATTAGGTAGTATCCAAGACAGTAATTTGCAACAAAATGCATGAACTTAGAAATGATCTGAGTATACCCAAATTTCTTGGAGAAATATGAGTTGTAATCTACATTCTTGGCAGATTCTTCAAATTTCTCTTCCTCAACTCCTTTGAGTTTCTCAATGTCTTGCTCAAAGATTGAGTTGTCAATACTTTCAATATTAGCTGAGACTTCTTCCTGAAGGTCCTCAATTGCTTTTGATAATGCTTCCTGGTTTGATTTAAGCTCCTTTAATGTAGAGAATTTATTTGTCAGATGAGTGATTGATAGCCAACCATTGAAGAAATCAAGCACTAATCTTGTAAGCTCTTGCTCATCTTGGTGACCAAAATAACCAGGATCATTAGATAGAAGATCTCTTAATGTAGAAATCTTTGAATCAATTAAATCTCTGATGGTATCCTTCTTCTCTGTTTCAGCTGTTTTAGAGTATGCATGGGAGCTCAGGGTAATAAGCCCTTTGTATATCTGAAGCATTAGAGGATGCTCGAAAAGACTCAAAGAGTTAGCTAACCCAGGCTTATAGTTACACTTATTGTTGAACTTGATGTATCCGAATATAGGATCATCTTGAGCTGTTGTATAAAACTCAGAGTTTCTCCATGCTTCTTTGATTTCAGAGTATTTTGGAATTTCAGTGTACTTTCCTACCCAGACTCCAAGGTCTTGTGTTCTTGTGAAATTAACTGAAAGTTGTTCATCACTAATATTGTTGAATTTTGCATCACTGTAAGAATACTCTTTAGCTGTTTCTGCTTTGCAGAAGTCTTTGAGCCAAGCCTCGTTAGAGAGTTTATCTCTAATCTGGCTGGTGTGTTTCAAAAAATTAACAATTTGACTGAAGTACGACTTATCAAGATAATCTTGGTATTGGTAAAACTCATCAACTTTGTCGTAGTTCTGGCTCTGCATAGCCTTAGACTTCAGGCCTTCAATATCCTTAGAATTTCTCTTATGAAAAATGCCATATTTTGAATACCAGTAGGATACATCTTCATAATTGGGACTAAGAATGAGCTGTCTCATGGGAATATACCCACACGACTCCATCTGGATACCTTTAAATTCAAAATAATTAAGCTTATCTACCACCTGAGAATTCATGTTTCAATCTTGATAGATTTTAGTCAATCTCAAGGCAATATCAAAGTTGTAGATACTCTGAGAAAGGCAATATTCCAAAATGTTAATCCTGAATAGCTTAACTGGATTTGGAATATGATTGATATCTGTGTAGTAATCTGAGAATATTTCATCAATGATGTAAATATAATCATCAGACACTCTTCTCTCTCCTTTCTCTGGAGCCTCTTCAATACTAAGACAGTCTTTATATTCCTCTAACATCTCTTGTAATTGTGGAGAAGTAAGATAATCATGGTCTGAATCAAACTTGTAAAGACCAAGCATTTTCTTGATTTTGTGAATTGTTGTTCTCTTTCTATGATATCTTAGTTTTCTAGCTTTAAAATCGTCTGCTTCTGGATCAAGGGCTAGAATGTTAGTAAAAGTCTTACATTTTCCTTCCTCAGTAACAATTTTATCCAAAGGCTCCACAAATTTAGAGTCAAAGTAAGGGAAATATCCCTTAAGATCATACACGACAGAGGAGAGTTGGAGGTATCTTTTAGCATAGATAAGAGATGTCTCTCCAAATACATTTTTGGAGCTATTCTCATGCTCATATTTTATTCCTGCCAAAACAAGTCTATGCATAAGATAAAGCTGAGATAAAATAGATGCCTTCCTGAGATTATGAGCTTCAGTGGTTTTGTTCTCTTCAAGTTCGAAATCTTGGTAATAAATTAAGCTTGTCCACAGATTCTTGATAGACTCGATATTATATTCATTCTCTCCTTGGTCAAGGTTAAAAACTTCGCTTTCTTTAGCTTCAGATTGATGAGTATCATCGTAAAGAGCTAATAGATCTTGCTCAGCTACTTCTTCCTTTAATAAATCTACAAGAGTATTGATTAGGAGTTCATAGAGGTCATAAATAGAGTTAAATTCTTTGTAATCTTCATAATTTTCCTTAATCACATTCCTAACTTCACTGATTAACTTGCACTGAGGAAGTTTGAGGTCATATAATTTGCCACCCTTCTTTAACTGGTCTATTTCTTGGTGTAAAATACTAATAATTTCTCTTGATTTTTCTAGGTCTCCATTGAAGGTCTCTGGATGTTTCTCAATAAATTCAAGAGCTTGTTGAGTCATTCCTTTCTTTTTCATAATCTTTAGGAAGAGCTTGCCATCACAAGGAAACACTTTATCTTCATCAGAGTACTTCTGCATATACTTGTTAGCAAACATAAATGCAAGATCAATTGTATTGGGCATTCCTTGTTCAGATTGTGAAAGCATGTACATGCTTTGGATTCCATGTATCTGATATTCAGAGAAATTGAAAGTATTAAAAATCTTCATACTTGTCATGTTCATCTTCATGAAATTGTTTGTAGCAACATAAATATCAAACATCTGTAAGGCATTGTCTTTGTCATCAGGATTATTCTCGAACTTTGCTTCTGACAACCTAACACTCTTTTCCATGTAATCTAGCTCTTTGCAGGATCTGACGAAGTGGTCAACCAAAAATTTATCGTAGATCTTGTCAGTGATAATCTTTTGAAGAACTTCTTCTATTATTTCCTCGCTCTCCTCAGTCTTGTTCATCTTATTAAGGAGATATGCATATGCGAGCCTGTAAAAGAGTTCTTCTACTACAGATCTTGAGCTAGCGATACTCTTTTTGAGTGTTTTAATGTTTTTCTTTGGGTCTATTCCATCTATTTGTTTATACAACCCTGGGACTTTCTTCTCAAGTTGGACATCCTATAGACACACCATGACACTGCTAAATGAAGCTTAGCTTACTTTTGATGGGAAGAGAGGTTTTGAAGATCCTGGATCCATTTCTTAATTCTATAAATTACTACTTTTAGGGGTTTTGGGGTTTTGGGGTTTTGGGGTTTTGGGGTTTTGGGGTTTTGGGG